CCTAAAGACGACACGGAGGGTATCCGTACCCGAAGTCAACGCCAACAGGAGACGGACCAGAGACGATTTGGTAATGCAACGCCGCAAACGTCGGAGGGCCAGTTGCTAACCACGGAGGCTGGCCCGTCAGCAGCTCCTGCATCTGCAGCACCTGACTTGGGTGCTCTGATGATGATGCTGCAGGATCAGGCTCGCCGACAGGAGGAACAGGCCCGCCGACAGGAGGAACAGGCCCGCCGACAGGAGGAACAGACCCGTCGGCTGGAAGAGCAGCTGCAGCGCGGTATGGAAGAACAGATGCTCCTCAGGAAGGACCTTCACGCTACCTTCGGGAAAGAGATAAAGGAGGTGAAGGATAGGGTTGCTCAACATGACAACCGCCTGTCGGAAGCTGAAACCCGAATCGACCAAGTGAACAATCGGGTTGACAACGTGATGGCTGATGTGAAGAAAACGCTGGACGACCTCAAACTTGGGGATGGAATCACAGCTCCCGTGGTAGCTACAACACCTTCGCTACGTGAATTCAAAGTGCCGCCGTTCGACGGGAGTTCTTCCTGGTCGGCCTACAAAATCCAGTTCGAGGCTGTCATGAAAGCGAACGGCTGGAATAAAAGTCAGGCCATGACTGCTCTCACCCTAGGCCTACGCGACCAGGCCTTAACTGTTTTGGAAGCGCTCGGTAAGGAAGTGACTTACGAGCAGCTCCTTGAGGCATTGGAGGCGAGATATGGCGATGCTCACTTGGAACACGTCTTTCGTGCGCAGCTCAAAGATCGCGTGCAACGCAATAACGAAAACCTGCAGCAGTGGGCCCTTGAGGTGGAGAAGCTGGTTCGAAAAGCGTACCAGTCTGTACCTGTGCTCATTGTAGGGAACCTGGTGCAGACTTTCATCGACGGCATCCGCGACCTTGAAGTCAGAGCTGCTGTGAGGCTCGGGCACCACCAGACGCTTAAGGACGCCCTGACCCATGCACTGGAGGTGGAAGCCGTGCGGCAGGATCATCGTTCCCACCGCGTCAGGGAGGTTGCAGCAGCTACAGTTCAGGACCGCAATAAGGGCTATAACCCTAGGTGCTACGGCTGTGGGGAAAGGGGCCATCTTCGATCCAGCTGCCCTAAACGAACTGTAGAAAGGGAAGGTGATCGATCTCGAGAGGGTAGTGCGGATAATAGCACCGCCCAGCAGCAGCAGGGAAACGAGTAAAAGCCAGGACTGCGGGGCGGGTGCTGGCTGATGTTAAAAGAGCCCCAAGGATTTCGATCTCACAAACCCATGATGGGAACAGCCTAATCATCAAGGGCGAAGTCAACGGAACGCCGTGTAAACTGACCATAGACACTGGAGCCTCTCGCACGGTTGTCAGTTCCCAACTTATAAGTCGGTTCCTTGGGGACTCCGCATACAACCGAGAACGCATTAATTTGGTGACAGCCACCGGTCAGCGCATACCCGTCCGTGGAGAGAAGGAGATGGAGTTGAAGCTAGGCAACATGATCTACCTGCATAATGTCATCGTGGCTGATATAATGGACGACTGCATCCTGGGCCTAGACTTTATGAGGAAGAATTGTTGTGAGATCGACGTTAAGCAAGGTGTTTTGAAATGTGGACAAGAAGAACTTTTCGTGGAAGGGGCGTTACCAGGGAATGTGTACAGCCTTAAGAAGATTGTTCTTCCGCCGAGATCGGAAACGATTGTGCCGGTTAGTCTTCCTCGGAGTCCTGGGCAAGCCCATCGTTGTGTACTCGTGGAAAGGGTAGACAATGACCTTCCATGGAAAGTGGCTCGAACCTTGGTCAGAACCACCGACATCTCAGGAGTACGTGTGTTGAACCTTTGTGATCAGGAACAGATTATAGAAAAAGGCACATTGGTTGGTACTAGTGAGGAAGTGGATTGGTTGCGTCGATGCGAATATCTATCGACCGGGACCCCCAGCAAGGATGGACAAACGATAGTGACCACACTTTTGGAAGACTGTCGCAGCGTTCTTTCCCCGAATGAAATGGTCAAGGCGAAGAAGTTGTTACTCAAGTACGCCAATGTTTTCTCGTCAAACGAAGCTGACATAGGAAAGACTGGCTTAGTTCAACACAAAATAAACACAGGACAAGAATTGCCTATTCGTCAGCGGCCAAGAAGATTGCCTGTAGCACGTGAAAAGGAAGTGGAAACCATGAATGAGGGAATGGTGAAGGATGGTGTTATTGAACCTTCATCTAGTCCATGGTGTTCACCTGTGGTGCTGGTAAAGAAGAAGGACGGCAGCATGCGGTTTTGTGTTGACTATCGCCGCCTGAACGACATTACAAAGAAGGACAGCTATCCCTTGCCAAGAATTGATGACACGCTGGATATGCTTACAGGCGTAAAGTGGTTTAGTACGCTAGATCTGAAAAGTGGCTACTGGCAGGTTGAAATTGACCATAAGGACAAGGAGAAAACTGCATTCTCCACAGGAAAGGGTCTGTGGCAATTCAAAGTCATGCCGTTTGGATTGTGCAATGCTCCAGCAACGTTTGAAAGGTTGATGGAGCTTGTACTTACCGGGCTAATTGGAGATGCTTGTCTGGTCTATTTGGATGACATCATCATCGTAGGCCGTACGTTTGAGGAACACCTTCAAAACCTGGAACGCGTGCTCATGAAGATCCAGAGTGCCAACCTCAAGTTGAGTCCGAAGAAGTGCTCACTATTCAAACGGCAAGTTAGATTTTTGGGGTATGTAGTGTCGGAAGAAGGTATCCGCACGGATCCAGAGAAAATTGCTGCTGTCAAGGAGTGGCCGGTCCCAAAAGACAAGACACAGGTTAGAGCATTTTTGGGTTTGTGCTCTTATTATCGGCGATTTGTGAAGAACTTTGCAGATATAGCCAAACCTCTGCACAAGCTAACCGAGCAGAAGCGACAATTCTGCTGGGATGAAAGTTGCGATATTGCATTCCAGGAGCTCAAGAACCGCCTGTGCAAAACACCTATTTTGGGGTACCCTGATGCGGGCAAGGAATTCATAGTTGACACAGACGCAAGTGATATAGGACTTGGCGGTGTGTTGTCTCAACGGAATGGTGATCAAGAGATTGTGATAGCGTACTTCAGCAAGTCGTTGTCAAAGCCGGAAAGGAACTATTGTGTCACAAGACGGGAATTGCTTGCTGTGGTAAAGTCCTTGCAGCATTTTAGCAAATATTTTCTAGGGCGGAAATTCCACTTACGAACTGACCATGCTGCACTGAAATGGCTATTGCAGTTCAAAAATCCGGAAGGACAAGTTGCGAGATGGATAGAACTACTGCAGGAATACGACTTTGTGATCGAACATCGCAGCGGGAAATCTCATGGCAATGCAGATGCATTGTCAAGAAGACCTTGCCCTGAAGATTGCAAGCATTGTACTAGGCAAGAGGGTAAGGAAGTGGTATCTGTGAGAATGCTCAGGACAGACCAGCTCAGCAATGAGTGGAAGGACAGCCTACAACATGCACAGCAGGAAGATTCGGACTGTAAGCCGATTCTGGAATGGATGAAGGCCAGTGCTCCTAAGCCCAAGTGGAGCGACGTCTCAGCAATGAGTTCGACCACGAAAAGCTATTGGGCCCAATGGGACAGCTTGCTGATTCAGGATGGAGTCCTGTGCCGTAAATGGAAAAATGGTCGGGGAGACAGGTGTCATTTGCAAATGGTTGTCCCTAAGGCTAAAGTGCCGGATATTCTACAGCTGTACCATAGTGGTTGTTCAGGAGGCCACCTGGGAGTTAAACGAACTCTCCTGAAGATCCGAGAACGGTTTTACTGGGTCCACTGTCGTGACGATGTCGAGGACTGGTGCCGCAAATGTACAAGTTGTGCGGCTGTAAAGGGACCTCAAATTCGTAGTAGAGGCGCATTGAAATTGTACAATGTTGGTGCACCATGGGAGAGGATAGCCATTGACGTTGCGGGGCCGTTTCCAGAAACTGAAAGTGGTAACAAGTATTTCATGGTAGTGATTGATTACTTCACTAAGTGGCCAGAAGTCTTCGCCATTCCAAATCAAGAAGCTTCAACAGTTGCAGATAAACTAGTTCATGAAGTCTTCTGTCGTTTTAGAGTACCTTTAGAGATTCACAGCGATCAAGGAAGGAATTTTGAGTCTCAAATATTCCAGGAAACTTGCCGAGTTATGGGTACTCAGAAAACACGAACAACTTCTTACCACCCACAATCTGATGGAATGGTAGAAAGATTTAATCAGACATTGGAGAGGTACCTAGCAAAAGTTGTGGAAAAACGGCAACGAGACTGGGACAGGCACATACAACCGTTTTTGTTGTCATATCGAAGCGCTGTTCACGAAAGTACATCAGTGACACCAGCTTTCGCAAACTTTGGGAGAGAATTGCGGCTGCCTGCAGACCTGATCACCGGAATACCACCTGATGCCCCACGCAGTATAACCGATTATGCAAATGACTTGCGGAACAAAATGAATGACATTTATGAGCACGTCAGACAGACGGGCCAGCAAACGTCTGAGAAGATGAAAACACGGTATGACCGCAAAATGAACAACAAGGGCTTTGATGAAGGTTCACTAGTGTGGTTACACAATCCAGTTCGCAGCAAAGGGAAATCTCCTAAGCTTCAAGCTAAATGGGACGGACCGTACCGGATTGTGACAAGGATCAATGATGTAACCTACCGGATACAGAAAGGTGCCAGAGGTACTCCTAAGATTGTCCATGTGGATCGACTGGCGCGTTATTATGGGGCCAATAATGCTCGGGACGAGCATATCTTAGGAGGGGGCAGTGTTACGCGCCACTATTAATGTCTTGTACATGGCAACACTAGTTACACTAGCGCCCCCTAGTGTCGAGTAAATGAAAGTATTGCGCGCCACTATTAATGTCTTGTACATGGCAACACTAGTCACACTAGCGCCCTCTAGTGTCGAGTAGCAGAACTAGGAGAGTCGAGATCCTTCCAGAAATTTCGGGACCGATATGTACTCGAACATTCTAGATGTCGCTACAGTAGGAGGTTCTGGAAACTATCTGAGGCCCTATATAAGACCGGTATAGACCACGACCGGAGCAGTATTGAATTGGCGTATATATAAAAGTACTCTGTGGAATTGGCGATACAAGAGAATACTTCGTAGCGAAATAACGGCGAACTGTGTTTTATTATTAGTGTGATTTTAGATTGTAATTAGTGTTGTGTAATTAAAGTGTCAATTTTGGTAATTCAATCGGCAGTTTTTAATTGTCTCGAACCCCGAGCTCGTAACAGTACTAACCTTTCTATATAGTTTGTGGCTTGTGGTACTCTATACTAAACTCAATTTCGGTACTTCTTAATTTGAGATGAGCGTTGTTTTCATTTGGTGTTATTAAAATCGTTAAAAATGGATATTAACATGATTGACTTGATGGATTTAGAAGATTTGGACATGCTGGAGACCACTCGGCGACCTGATAGACATCGACATCGTGTGAATCCGTTTGAATTGAGTGACGAAGATTTTAGGTATAAGTATAGGTTCTCAAAACGTTTCGGAGAAAAAATAGTGGGTATCTTACGTGAGGATTTAGTGCACGACCCTCGAGGATGCCCATTGAGTCCTGAAATTCAAGTGGTTTGTGCATTACGCAACTGGGCTCGCCATGAAGTAAGTGCTGTTTATAATCTTGGTGGGGTCAATGTACCTAACATTACGCTAGATAAAAAGCCAAATAATACATATTATTGTTTTATTCGTAGATTCAAGACGATACAGCTGATTTACATGGTGTGTCTCAACCAGTAGTCAGTAGGACATGTAAAAAAGTAGCGGAAATTTTGTCACGGAAGTCCCGAGAATTTATTAAAATGCCTACTACTTTAAATGAACAGCAGGAAACCATTAGAAAATTTCGCAGTATTGCTAATTTTCCTACAGTAATTGGCGCAATTGACTGTACTCACATACGAGTAAAGAAAGTGAATGCTGATGGGGGTCAGTTATATATTAATAGAAAAGGATTTTCTTCAATTAATGTACAGGTAATATACAAATATTTTAAATAGCTGTGATTGTCTCTTAATAACTTTACTTTATCATAATAGAAAATAATTTGTTTGACTATCTTATGGTAATAAATATATATTAAAATAAACCAGAAAAACATAAAGTACTAATGAGCTCTTATTTTACAGGTCGTTTGTGATGCTGACCTGAAAATCATGGACATTGTTACCAGGTGGCGTGGTAGTGTACATGACTCCAGAATATTCCGAGAATGTAGACTAAAACAGAGGTTTGAGGCTGGTGCATTCTCTGGAATATTACTTGGTGACAGTGGCTATCATTGTACTCCTTACCTATCTACACCGCTGCTGAACCCCACAACACCACAAGAAGAAAGATATAATAGGAGCCATATCCGTACTAGGAACACAGTGGAAAGATGTTTTGGTTTGTGGAAGCAACGGTTTCGTTGCCTATTAAGAGGTATGTTTGGAGATATTGAAACAGCAAAAAAAAACAATTGTTGCATGTGCTGTACTACACAATATGGCCATCGACATGAGAGAAGATGTGTTTTCTGGTGAGAGAGATAGCATTGAACAATATTCATCTGAACCTATAGTACAAAGATATATTACACCATCAATAAGGGGAAATATTAGAAGAAGACAGTTTATTGAAACTCATTTTCAGTAGGTAAACATTTTTTTTTACATATTTATATAACTATTTATAATTAAAATTTATAATTATATTTATAAAATTGTCAAATTTTTTTCAATTGTCTAAAGCTATGTATATATAATTTATTTTATTTTGTTATTCAGAGGCCAATTTTGGCTATAAAATTACATTAAAGATCAATAAATGTATAAGACAATTATAATAATATTTCTTTTTGATTTCAGACATAATACCCATTTATAAAGGAACATATTTCTGCAGAGCCGTTGTCAGCTGTCAAAGAATAACGACTACATATTCACCAATATGAAATAAATTCAGGGGAGTATTGTGATAATATTTCATTTATTGAGCAAAATGCTTTTATTTAGGCTATAAATGATTGTGTTTCAGGGAAAGATGCGGGGTACAGCACATTCCACATCAATATGAAGCTATATTATATAAAGATTTAAGTGCTGTAGAGATATGTTTAGATTTTTTAATAAATATCGTCCCTCCTCTACATTCACAGCCGGATTTCCTTTCCAGAGGTGCAAGGGTCCACGGGGAGTAGGACTGTATGATAACTAAGTAAATAGGTTTAGTTTTTTTTATTATAGTTTTTTACTATTGTATATTATGTTTCATTGTTATGTAAATAAAATGCATATTAATTATAATTATTTATTTTAATTATTAATAAAAGATGTACAAATATTTGCAGCAATTAAGTACCTGAAAATAATAGTTTCATATATGAGGATATTTACAAACATGTATCTGATATAGTCTCAAATATTTAGTTTTTTTTTATAGGATAATGGTGATAAACACAGTCTACCACACACACACACACACACACAGTCCATCTGATGTTAAGTAACTGCTGTGGTGCATAGACGTCCACATCTATCCTCGACTACAAATCAAAATGCAGATGCGTTGTCACCCGTGTGGAGTAAGATGGAATGCCTCGTTTCCTGTAAAAGAGGTCTCTCTCATACAAAATTTGTCCAAAAATTTATCCAAAATTTGTCAATAAACAAGTTTAAATGTTTTATTAAAGAAAAATTTTATAAAAAGGTTATTATAATATCAAAGAATACATAAATGAAAATATTGGAAATACTGGAATTGAGGTGATCGCCACCATGGTGGTTCTATTAAAATTCATTTAAAAATTGTACAAATAAAATTATTGTTAAGAGAAATATGTTTATAAAAAAGTCCCGCTGGGTTTCTTACTAGTTCATCCCAGGACTGAGGTATTTTCCAAACCAGTGGTAAATAAAAAATGTCTTTCAATAAGTATTCTGTAATAATCTATATTTAATAAAAATCATTCTATTCTATTCTCGTTCTATAAACTCACCATAATAAACACAGCAGCATTAAGCTGCTATTTAACTTGTGTTTTTCTGACTTTCTAATAAAGATATTTGTAACTCTAATTTTCTTATTTTTAGGTTAGCTATTTTAATATTGTATTTATGTTCCTCTTCCATCATTTCCAGTTGTATTTTTTTAAAATCTGTGTTACTTTTTACAATTGTTTGGTGTACATCTTCTCTTCTGTAAAATGAAATGGAATACTTAATGTAAGTTTTGTAGTTATTTTAGACATTTACAAAGTATTCTAGAGTAATAAAAGTGCACTTAACCTTGTACACCAATTAAAGAAATATTTTTTAATTATTTTTAAATCAATTCATATTAAACTTTGCTTTTAATATTTGAAAACATGAAACAATTTTCAGTGTTTAAATACTAATTTTCACATTTTAAAAAGTATGTAATGTATCAGACTATGTAATTTTTTCAACATACCTATTTTGCAAGCTATTTTTCCTGTTTTTAATTTTTGTTATACCCCTAGTAATAATATCTTTATTGTTGGTTATTTTCACCATTTTGGCACTTTCTTCTGTATCTGTAGTTGGATCTATCTCTAAAAATTAATATAAATATAACAGTTTTAGAAAATTAACATTTATAATATTTACAAACTTGTATGCATATGATTGTAACTATAATAATAATATATTTTGCTTTTTAATAAATATTCAATCAGTATTATTTACCTTGCACATATACAACATTGGGTTCTGGATTTTCTACATTTTTAACTATAGCTGTGTCTGTTTTTTCAAAATTAAGGCGAGGCTTAGGGTCAGCAACTTCTTTTGATTTTGTAGCCACAGTCACTGGATCCTAAAATAAATTATTAAAACATTTATTAACATGTTTTCTTGTCACCTGTCACCTCTATTTTGCCCTTTATTGAATCAGGTATTTTCTATGTTGTAGAAATATTATTATGATCCAAGACAAAAGGTAATTTAATAAATTATTAATTATAATACCTAATAGACAAAAATAGAAAATTATAATCGGACTGTGTAGATAATCTAGTAACATGTGTGTTATGATATTATATAGACCACTATATATGAATTTGTGACATTTCAATTTTGAATATAATTAATTATAAAGAAATTTATGTTAAATTGTTACTAAGTATATTAAATTTTGAATATTCGGAAAATAATTTTGGATTGTAAATTGTATGCTTTAAGAGTAGATTTCAGAGCACTACCTAGGTACTAAAGTAATGGAAAATAAAGTTCTTTAATTTTAATTAAATTTGTAAGACATGTAAGTAATTTTATTTACCACTGCATCACTATCATAATTATTAACTTCAACGATAAAGTCGTGAGGGGCAATGGACATTATTTCCAAGTCCTCAAGAGAAGATGATGGAGGTTTTCCGCCACCCCCGGTCTTTGATTGTTCCCTCCTATATGTGTATAAGTTTGATTTAGCACACAACTTCATTCTTTTCCAAGATAATTTCAATTCACCATCTGATCGGCGTTTACCTGTTATCTCATTAAATCTAAAAAAAAATACGAAATCACGTAAACAATACCGTACCTATTTGTACACATAACAAATGCGATAAGTACTTACTTATTAGTTATATTCTTCCACTCTTTTATTTTTTGAATATTTACCGATGTTTTTGTCGACTTATTCTCTATTATATGTGCTAATTGTGAAATAAGTGTACGTAATATTTCCTATAATAATTAGAACATTCCTTTTAGTTTAAATAAGGATAATAGGAGGATAAGAGTATTGCTACGTACTGACAAATAAATTTCGATATTTCACTAACTTTTTCTTCAGAACTCCAATTTTCACCCCGTTTTTTCTTTTGTTCCATTATTATATAAATATAACTGTAATAGCAAGTAATTAATTATTAATTATTTGATTTACTTATTATAAGGCTGCAATATAAACTATTTTGAACGTCTCGAATCCCGCGCTCGCGTTACCTCTGTAATTCACTACATTTCACGCTAGAGTTGTTAAACTGAAAACAACTTGATATAATCAAAAGCGCGTCAAAAGTATATGTCGTGCTTGTTCAATAGATTTTAACGTAAACAAATAACAATGTATGATATGTTTTTGTATTGATGGATAATTATTTAAGCATAATTAAGTGTGAAAATAATATTAATATTTTATGAAACCGAACGTTGCATTGAATGAAACCTGTATGAACGAATGATAGAGTGTCATTTTTTATCTGTGAATGATATTTAATATAATACTAACGTTGGTATTAACTGGTCCTCGGGTAGTCTGCGTTTTGTAATAAGCACACGTTTTAGTGCTGGTATTAACTAGAATATTGTAACAAACCTGGACTTCTTACTCCTAAACTTAATCCAGTACTAAAACATTTTTTTGGAATAAGACTGTATGAGCCTCATTGTTTTAGGTGGACTAAATATACTTAACTTATACAGTCTTATTCCAAAAAAATGTTTTAGTACTGGGTTAAGTTAAGGAGTAAGAAGTCCAGGTTTGTTACAATATTCTAGTTAATACCAGCACTAAAACGTGTGCTTATTACAATACGCAGACTACCCGAGGACCAATTAATACCAACGTTAGTATCATGGACCTAGAAAAAAGGGCGGACGCCGTCTCTTAAAACAATTACTGATGCACCCATACTAAGTCAGCTCGCTAATACAAACAAGCCGGCACGCACACATGCACACCATAGTAAGTCAACAGCCCGCCATTACGCTCCAAACCGCGTCCGCGTAACATTGTAGTGAAAACCTGTTGAAATCATAGTGGTTCCATTAAAAAAAGCCAGGGGATCACTTTTCATAGGTAAGTAAGTAATTTATTCACCTTATTTCTCATTTTTACTTTAATTTATTTCAAACTTTATTATCAAAACATTTTATTAACAAACAAAAATTATTATCAAAACACGAAACTAATCAGTGTTGCCAGTTATTAAATTTGCAAGTTACCTTAAATATGGGAGATTAATATCTTTTTGTTCACTTTGAATTGTTCCTTAATTCATTAATTTACCTCTGTATATACTTTTGGCGTCCCATGATACTAAAGTACCAATATTATAAATTTTACATTTTATAGATTTCCCTCTGCAGATGATGTGTGGAAGAATGGCTGGGTGCAAATAATAAAAGACTGTAGAAATGAAAACAATTGGAATACATCTAAATCTAGTGTAATCTGCAGTAAACATTTCGAGGAGAATGATTTATAGAGAACAAAAGGTGGACTTCTTCGCGTTGTTACTTACGCCATCCCAAAAAAGATAAAGATCAATGAATATCTATTTTCCTCTTACAATTATAAGCTTAACATATTGAAACGTAATTAATTTTTTAGTTTTTATTTGAGGCGTCAAGCGTTCCGGAGGAACAACTCGTTGAAGCAAATACTTCCAGTGCTTCGCATGGGGTACGTACGTGTTAAGGAGAGAAGTTTTTAATCGATTTGAAAAAAAGGAGGTCAAGAGAGCCAAGTCGACTGAATGTTTTTTGTTTTTTTAAGTTACACCGACAATGTCGAAACGTTTTCGATGATTCTTTTTTAGTTGAATAGGTTATACTACAATGTTTTTCACCGATATGTATTTCTTTTCTTTTAGAAAAGAAATACATCATAAAAGGGATGTATTGCTTTTCTTTTTGAAAATAAATACATCCTTATTTTTGTACTTGCGAGATAGTGATCCGAAAGCATTTAAGAGATAATATAACTATATATACTGAAAGACAACATCAGTACAGGCTTACCAAAATTCTGGAAAAATATATAGCTAACGACAGGATTTTTTTAAATTTAAAACTTGACCATGCGTTTGCTAGAGTAAAACATAAAATAGCTCTCATTGAATATATAGCCGAAAAATATCTGAATATTCGTTTTCACCATATAGCTAAATTGAAGGAGATTTCTAAGTCTTTTGACAGTAAAAGACAATATTATAAAAAATTAACCCAACAAAAGGGACTCTAAAAAAACCGTTAATAAATGTAAATTAATTATAATATTAATAAATATTCATAATCAATATTTTTATATTCAATGTGTTTTATTACAATCTTGTTTTATTAAACTTAAAGTCCTGGTTCCGAGGACGATGACGAATGTCTTAAATCTAATTGAATTATTTTGCGTTTAAAAATGGGTAATTTTTCTTCATCTTGCAACCCTCTACACGCTCACACATAGTTACGCTGCCGTCACTGCGACGCCTCAATTGTTTGTTAGCGAGACTCTGTCCGCCCTTTTTTCTAGGTCCATGGTTAGTATTATATTAAATATCATTCACAGATAAAAAACAAAAAATGACACTCTATCATTCGTTCATACAGGTTTCATTCAATGCAACGTTCGGTTTCATAAAATATTAATATTATTTTCACACTTAATTATGCTTAAATAATTATCCATCAATACAAAAACATATTATACATTGTTATTTGTTTACGTTAAAATCTATTGAACAAGCACGACATATACTTTTGACGCGCTTTTGATTATATCAAGTTGTTTTCAGTTTAACAACTCTAGCGTGAAATGTAGTGAATTACAGAGGTAACGCGAGCGCGGGATTCGAGACGTTCAAAATAGTTTATATTGCAGCCTTATAATAAGTAAATTAAATTATTAATAATTAATTAATTAAAAGTACTTGCTATTACAGTTATATTTATATAATAATGGAACAAAAGAAAAAACGGGGTGAAAATTGGAGTTCTGAAGAAAAAGTTAGTGAAATATCGAAATTTATTTGTCAGTACGTACCAATACTCTTATCCTCCTATTATCCTTATTTCAACTAAAAGGAATGTTCTTATTATTATAGGAAATATTACGTTCACTTATTTCACAATCAGCACATATAATAGAGAATAAGTCGACAAAAACATCGGTAAATATTCAAAAAATAAAAGAGTGGAAGAATATAACTAATAAGTAAGTACTTATCGCATTTGTTATGTGTACAAACAACACGGTACGGTATTGTTTACGTGATTTCGTATTTTTTTTTAGATTTAATGAGATAACAGGTAAACGCCGATCAGATGGTGAATTGAAATTATCTTGGAAAAGAATGAAGTTGTGTGCTAAATCAAACTTATACACATATAGGAGGGAACAATCAAAGACCGGGGGTGGCGGAAAACCTCCATCACCTTCTCTCGAGGACTTGGAAATAATGTCCATTGCCCCTCACGACTTTATCGTTGAAGTTAATAATTATGATAGTGATGCAGTGGTAAATAAAATTACTTACATGTCTTACAAATTTAATTAAAATTAAAGAACTTTATTTTCCATTACTTTAGTACCTAGGTAGTGCTCTGAAATCTACTCTTAAAGCATACAATTTACAATCCAAAATTATTTTCCGAATATTCAAAATTTAATATACTTAGTAACAATTTAACATAAATTTCTTTATAATTAATTATATTCAAAATTGAAATGTCACAAATTAATATATAGTGGTCTATATAATATCATAACACACATGTTACTAGATTATCTACACAGTCCGATTATAATTTTCTATTTTTGTCTATTAGGTATTATAATTAATAATTTATTAAATTACCTTTTGTCTTGGATCATAATAATATTTCTACAACATAGAAAATACCTGATTCAATAAAGGGCAAAATAGAGGTGACAGGTGACAGGAAAACATGTTAATAAATGTTTTAATGATTTATTTTAGGATCCAGTGACTGTGGCTACAACATCAAAAGAAGTTGCTGACCCTAAGCCTCGCCTTAATTTTGAAAAAACAGACACAGCTATAGTTAAAAATGTAGAAAATCCAGAACCCAATGTTGTATATGTGCAAGGTAAATAATACTGATTGAATATTTATTAAAAAGCAAAATATATTATTATTATAGTTACAATCATAGGCATACAAGTTTGTAAATATTATAAATGTTAATTTTCTAAAACTGTTATATTTATATTAATTTTTAGAGATAGATCCAACTACAGATACAGAAGAAAGTGCCAAAATGGTGAAAATAACCAACAATAAAGATATTATTACTAGGGGTATAACAAAAATTAAAAACAGGAAAAATAGCTTGCAAAATAGGTATGTTGAAAAAATTACATAGTCTGATACATTACATACTTTTTAAAATGTGAAAATTAGTATTTAAACACTGAAAATTGTTTCATGTTTTCAAATATTAAAAGCAAAGTTTAATATGAATTGATTTAAAAATAATTAAAAAATATTTCTTTAATTGGTGTACAAGGTTAAGTGC